GTGTCTTAGTGTATTGTTGATTGCTTGTTGTTTATATTGCTTTAATTGTTTTTAATCTGTCTTATGTTTTGTATTGTTATATTGTGTGTTGAGGCCTTGGCCTTTTTAAGCCGCATCGAGTCCTTCGGGAGATGCTAGCGGGGTGCAAATAAAGTTATAATAATAATAATAACAATAATAATGAGATGAAGATGAGATGATAACCACATATTGTTCACTCAACCATTTATCTGAAAGAGCACCAGCACAACTAGTAATTCGAAAGTAAATACTGCATGCCTTTTGAGCATAGAAAGGTGTGTGGCAGAATAGGCTTGTGGAGCCATGGGTTATGGGGCAGGCAGTCCAAAGCCACCCACATTACGACTCCATCCCGCCCTGTTTGTCGTAGTAGGGCTGGTATGGAAGAAAAAATCCGAATCAGCCGCCATGCGTGAACACTGTTTCCTAGATGCAATCAATGTCAAAGAACGAGAGCAAGTTTATGTCTGTAAAGTATTTATTGAAACTCGTCAAAATCCACAGTAGTCATTTCAGTATCCATGCTACAATAATGAGATGCTCTGAGCCGTATAAAATAGACATTTTAAAAACAAGGAACGAATCCCAGAAAAATAGACTAGCAGTGTTAAGTAAGGCACTTGAAATACAATAACACCGAGGAAACCTGTATAAGAGCAGGCTGTGTACCTAAAGAGAGCAGGAGCTGCTCCCCTCAAGGTCAACGAAACAGGATTTCCATGGCTTTCTCACCCCCAATGGGAAGTTCACTTGCATGGTATCCAGATTAGGCAACCTGGGGCTGAACTGCAAGTCCCATTGGTCCTGGGCAGAACAATAATAGCGAGGGATCATGGGAGTTGCGACCCCCTCGTGAGCCATGCAAGGCCTGCATTGAAGGAGGCAGGATGAGGCCAGGCGGCTGGCATTCCCTGATAATCCAGTTCTGAACCACGTCTTAACTGGAGCCTTAAAAGCCAAACAATGCTTTTGGGAGGGAAGGGGAATGCCTCCAATGGCACCTCGTTCTCAGTTGTAGGAAAAGCAACTAAAGCAGAAGACAGAAAGCTTTTACAATCTCAAATTAAGGGCTATATAATTAGGCATGTGCAAGTACTTACAAAACTAAAGTTCTGGTGGTGAAAACTAGGGGGCGCTGGTGCTTTGCTTCTACAGTGTTGCTAAAGTTCTGGTGGCGAAAATTTCAGAACTCTAACACAACTTTCAATATTTCATTATAAATGGCAGTTCCTAATAGGTTCTGTCATAAAAATCACCAATAATGAAATTTTGAAAGTTTTGTTAGAGTTCTGAAATTTTCACCACCAGAACTGTAGAAGCAAAGCACCAGCGCCCCCTAGTCTTCACAACCAGAACTTTAGAACCATGGATTGCACATACCTAATATATATACTGGGGTCTTGCTCTTTTCCCACGTCTGTCCAACTCCATGCCCCAGGAGGAGGAGCCTACTAGTTGCAATTCTGAATGTACGAGGGGTATTTTTTAAGTAAGGTCCGTTTTGTTGTAGACACTAGTAGTTCGCGCGCATACTGCAACGAGTGCGTGCGTCGTGTACCGGCATGCCTCGGGAACAACTGTGCTCAGTTTCCACTCTGTAGCTCACCTGTACGGTTCTGTTCTGTGCTTTAAACATGTTTAAGACTATCAACTCACCCGCCGCATGAGTTGATAGTCTTAAACATGTTTAAAGGTGAGCTACAGAGTGGAAACTGAGCACAGTTGTTCCCGAGGCATGCCGGTACACGACATATGCACTCGTCGTGGTATGCACGCGAACTACTAGTGTCTACAACAAAACGGACCTTGCTTAAAAAATACCCCTCGTAGGATGCTCAGACGTGAGACGGCAAGGACCCTTCCCTCTCCGAAAGTCCCAAAGGCATAGGAGGTGCCCCTGGAAGTGGAGCGCAGCCCCTGCGGCTAGACATTCAGAACACAGTAGGCTTGAAATTCTCGCATCTGATGCCCTGGAAGAGGGTTGCAATGCGAACAGCTTTACTAGTGCGCTGGGGGACCCACAAAAGGGAACTGGCAAGAGGAAAGAGGGTTGCCTTGCTTGGGAGGCAGGTATGTGCCTAGAGCTAGTAACTATGGGTCCAGGGCTGCATGCTCTTCAAGCAAAGCACATCACCCAGAGAGACAGCTAGTTTGGAAAAGCCAGGCCATAACACGGTAATGTTCTCAAAGCATCTTCTCAAGCTCATGCCATGAGAAATGACCACTCCCGTCCTGGGATCATCCCACTCTTTCAAAAGAAGAATGTGTAATGAAACCCTTACCTTGGCAGGCTAGCTTAGGCCTAGGAGAGTGGGCCTGGCGAAGCCACGGCATCCATTTTGGAGAAGGGAGACAGGGAGACGCCATCTTAGCTTAGGTTTGCCTAAAAGGGGGCATGTTCTAGCCTAGGAGGGAAAGATATTGGGCTAGGATTGGTTGTCTGAAGGGGGGAAAAGTGACTTTTAAACTGAGGCTTGAGCTTTGCTAGTGACCGCTTGGTGGGAGTTGGGAAGGGTAGAGAGAAGAAGCTTGGGTGTTAGCTAGCATAGTTTGGGTTTGTGAGGAAGAACTTTGGAACAGTCTGTGGAGTGGTATTCAGGAATAGCTATTGAAATAGATAGCTAGAATACGGAGTGGAACAGGACCCCACTGTAGTCCGCTCTTTTCCCTAAGGAAAGTGGGTTCAGGGATTTGGCTAATTTCCTATAGCAAGGGGATTTTCAGGAGTTACTCTCAGAGATTCATTTCCTGAGGTAATCTTTTGTGTTGATCCTTTTTTAAGACTTGTACCTGTTGGGTTTCAGCCTGTGTGTGAACCTTAACCTGATTCTCTGATTGTATTCCCTGATGCCAATGTAGACGTCAATATGAATTCTGAGGCCAATTTAGATGATGATGGTTTGAGTAGTGAAAATCCTACAGCTTTGGAAAGTGAAAGTCAAAATTCCCATGAGAACATGCATTCTGAGCCGAGCGGAGAAGTTTCACTCCCTTTTCCTCCCAGCTTTAGTTCTCCAGAGAATCTGACATCTGGTCTGCCTAATGAGGATAGGCGGGGGCAGATTTGGCAGAGCCGGGGAGAAGCACAAAGTTTACGTAGGTCAGCCAGATTGAGAGAAATGCAAACAAAAACGTCAGATTTCTCGGCCTTAAGTATGCCTGGCCTGAATGCAGCTTCAGACCAGGCATCATTCCAGATTCATGTGCAAGCTTTTGCAGGTCTCCTGATTCAAGTGGCCTTGTTCCTCGGAGGTTTTCTAGTTGTTCCAAGTATGGTTAGTGGATTGCTAACAGGTTCCAGGATTCAGCAGTTTTGCTGTGGGTTTCATGATCTTGTTTATGGACATTTCTTGTTGCTGATTTTTACTGTGACTTTTTACCTTTGCATTTTTACTCTATTTTGTACTCATCTTTCATCAATAAAGAAGGATTGTTTTCCTGAAGTCAAGTGTGGTGGATGGTTGTCTGAGGGTCCAGTTTCCTGCTCTAGGTTGCAACAAGTTTTAAGATCTGTACATAACCACAAGCTTGTCTGTGCCAGTATTTTTATGAAACCATCACGCTTTCGTACCTGAATATTTCAAGCCTGTTTAATAAACGTTCTGGTTATTTTTATTAACTTAAGCAAGCCTCTGTGTGATTATCATTGTGGTAAAAGCATTACTCAAGATAACTCTACACAGCCTCTAAGAACACTATAATAACACAGAGTGTGTTACTGAGCAACCTCTCACAAATACCACAGCCTGTTTACTCTTAATTTGGTGGCAGCGAAAATCTACTAAAAAATCCTTTCCGTTCCAGTGGGTCATAGTTCCTAGCTTCAAAATATTTAGTCGATTCAACAACTATTCTCCCTCTATATTTTAGTGAGCTCTAGATTTTGGCTGAGCAGTCCTGCTGATCATTATAATTGATTGGCAAGCAAAGATCTACACAAGATACCTACTGGACAAAGTAGAGGAATGGGCTGAAAGTAATTCGATAATAAAAGAAGAACAAGCAGGCTTTAGGCAAGACTACTCCACTACAGACAATGCTTTTGTTCTTCAGCACATAATTGACAAATATTCATCAATGAACAGAAGTTTATATGTATTGTTGAAGGCTTTCATGGCCGGAATCACTGGGTTGTTGTAGGTTTTTCCGGGCTATATGGCCATGGTCTAGAGGCATTTTCTCCTGACGTTTCGCCTGCATCTATGGCAAGCATCCTCAGAGGTAGTGAGGTCTGTTGGAAGTAGGAAAAGTGGGTTTATATATCTGTGGAATGACCAGGGTGGGACAAAGGACTTTTGTCTGCTGGAGCTAGGTGTGAATGTTTCAGCTGACCACCTTGAGTAGCATTTAATGGCTTGGAAGTGCTTGGGGGGAATATTTTGTTGAGAGTGATCTGATGTGCTTGATTGTAGACTTGTCCACAAATCCAACAAATGCTACATTCAGGAAAGGACAAGAGGGATCTTCTCATTTCTGCGGGAGTCTACCGTATTCCATGCAGCTGTGGACAAATCTACAGAGGGACCACCAAACGCAGCATTACCCAGACACGAATCAAGGAACACAAAAGGCACTGCAGACTACTTCAACCAGTGAAATCAGCCATAGCAGAGCACCTGATGAACCAACCCGGACACAGCATATTATTGGAGAACACAGAAATGCTGGACCACTCCCACAACCACCATGTCAGACTACACAGAGAAGCCACTGAAATCCATAAGCATATGAACAATTTCAACAGAGAGGAAGAAACCATGAAAATGAACAAAATCTGGCAACCAGTATTAAAAAAACTCAAAAATTACAACAGCAAAACAACAGAGAGTAAACAATCAGGCACATCAAATCACTCTCAACTAAAGATTCCCCCCAGGCATTTCCAAGCCATTAAACACTAATCAAGGTTGTCAGTTGAAACATTCACACCTAGCTGCAGCAGACAAAAGTCCTTTGTCCCACCCTGGTCATTACACAGATATATAAACCCATTTTCCCACTTCCAATAGACGTCACTACCTCTGAGGATCGACCCTCTAGGAAGGACCGGAGCCACGACAGAGCCTGCCTTGGAGTTAGGTGGAAAGGAGTAGTAGAGTTGTGTGTCATCTGCATAGAGATGGCACCCAACTCCAAAACTCCGGATGACCTCTCCCAGCGGTTTCATGTAGATGTTAAAAAGCATGAGAGACAGAATGGAGCCTTGCGGGATGCAGGCGAAACGTCAGGAGAAAATGCCTCCAGAACATGGCCATAAAGCCCGGAAAAACCTACAACAACCCTTAAACTTTGCTGGCTAAAATAAAAATGTGGAAGGTAGGCTTTTTGTACAACACCTATTCCTCTTTTGGGGTGTCCCCTCTCCCCGAAAGCGGCCTTGCTCTGAAGCCTGTTGCACCCAAACGTAACCTTAACCATTAGAATGTGCCAAACCCAACAACAAGGGATATCGGATGGGAGGAAAATGGTCACCAGGGCTGCTAGAAAAGCAGCAATATGAGACCAAAGGGATTGCGTGACGTTCCAAGGTTTCTGAGCCCCCTGCCATTGGGAAAGCAAGCTCTATCCAGCAGTTCCCTCCTCAATCCTAGAGAAAGTGGGAAAGCACGGTGATCCGTAGAGCTGTCAAATCAGGATATATTATTTTTTTCTGGAGGAACAGGAGCCTGAGAAGGCTCTTGGGGTTGCGGCATGAGAATTATAGGAAAGGTGTGACTTCTTTAAAAACTAACAATTCTAAACGACCCCAAATCAACTGAGGATGGCAACACGGCGTAATATCTCTAGGGCTTTCAGGGCAAACTCTTTTTTTCTTCAAGGCACTAGACATCTTTGGTTTCGTGTGCAACAATTTCGTTAATTTCAAGTAGAGGTAGCATGATCCACATACTGAACGCTTCTGGTCCATGCCGAGGGAAGAGCGCAGCTCCAACGTCCCTTAACTCATGAGGAAGCTGAGGAGAACACAGAAACCAAGATGGTCACCAAACAAAGTAATGCTTCTTCAACAACCACAGAAGCCCTAAGTATTCCAGAGGACCCTGATACAACGTAGAACCATATCTTCATGCCAAAATTATGAGCGTATATTAACAACTTGCTGATATTATTATTATTATTATTATATTACTGGGTTGTTGTAGGTTTTTTCGGTCTATATGGCCATGGTCTAGAGGCATTCTCTCCTGACGTTTCGCCTGCATCTCTCCTGACGTTTCGCCTCTCACAACCACCATGTCAGACGACACAGAGAAGCCATTGAAATCCACAAGAAGCTTGTGGACAACTTCAACAGAAAGGAGGAAACCATGATAATGAACAAAATCTGGCTACCAGTATTAAAAAAAAACCTCTAAAATTGCATCAGCACAACAACAGAGAGGAAGCAGGCAGGGACGTTACCTCTCAACAAAAGTTTACTCCAGGCACAGTCAGCCCATTGTATGCTAATCAAGGTGGTCAGTTGAAACATTCACACCTAGCTCCAGCAGACAAGAGTCCTTTGTCCCACCCTGGTCTTTCCACAGATATATAAACCCTTTTTCCTAGTTCCAACAGACCTCACTACCTCTGAGGATGCTTGCCATAGATGCAGGCGAAACGTCAGGAGAGAATGCCTCTAGAACATGGCCATATAGCCTGAAAAAACCTACAACAACCCAGTGATTCCAGCCATGAAGTGTGAATGTTTCAACTGACCACCTTGATTAGCATTTAATGGCTTGGAAGTGCCTGGGGGGAATCTTTTGTTGAGAGTGATTTTGTACCTGATTGTTTCCTCTGTGTTGTTTTGCTGTTATAATTTTAGAGTTTTTTAATACTGGTAGCTAGATTTTGTTCATTTTCATGGTTTCTTCCTTTCTGTTGAAACTGTCGACATGCTTGTGGATTTCAGTGGCTTCTCTGTGTAGTCTGACGTGGTGGTTGTGGTCAGCTGAAACATTCACGCCTAGCTCCAGCAGACAAGAGTCCTTTGTCCCACCCTGGTCATTCCACAGATATATAAACCCATTTTCCTACTTCCAACAGACCTCACTACCTCTGGGGATGCTTGCCATAGATGCAGGCGAAACGTCAGGAGAGAATGCCTCTAGAACATGGCCATATAGCCCAGAAAAACCTACAACAACCCAGTATTAGTTTTGATAAGAACTAACTACACATCAGACCTAAATAATGAAACATGACGAGATAGGCTCAGACCACACAAACAGGAATGTCCACAGAGATCCTCCTGCAGCAGATTGTCTCTTTTACAATGCAATACGTACCTGTATGGATAGCCATGGTATTTTGATCTAAATATGGAGAGCAGCCAGCTGAAGAACACCACGACCAGACCAATCCCAGCCATACAGATTACTGCGGAGAAAGCAGAACAAAATCAACCTGTTTCATCACTGATCAAGCAAAGCTTTCGGCGGTGACTAGGGGAGCATTTGCACAGTGCGCCAACTGCGCCCGTACCTTGGGAAGTCTGACTTGGCCACGGTAGTCCACGCTCTGGTTACATCCCGCTTAGACTACTGCAACGCTCTCTACGTGGGGTTGCCTTTGAAGACGGCCCGGAAGCTCCAACTGGTCCAACGTGCGGCAGCCATGATACTAACAGGAGCGGAACGCAGGGAGCATACAACTCCTCTGCTGCACCAGCTCCACTGGCTGCCGATCTGCTACCGGGCTCAATTCAAAGTGCTGGCGTTGGCCTTTAAAGCCCTAAACGGTTCTGGCCCAACTACCTATCCGAACGTATCTCTGCCTATCAGCCCACCAGGACCCTAAGATCTTCTGGGGAGGCCCTGCTCTCTATCCCGCCTGCTTCACAGGTGCGGCTGGCGGGGACGAGAGACAGGGCCTTTTCTGTGGTGGCCCCTCGGCTGTGGAACGCCCTTCCCATGGAGGTAAGATCAGCCCCCTCGCTAATGGTGTTCCGAAGAGATTAAAAACTTGGATGTTCGAACAGGCATTTGGTTAATCAGTGCAATGAATGTGACGATTACAGGAATGGAAATATGGACGACGAATTTGGATCATGACTCTAGTGATGAGAAGCATTGTGTTGTTATTGTTGTGTAATACTGTATATTGTGCTTTTGTGTTTTAAATTGGATATTGTGACTGATTTTACCCTTGTTGTAAACCGCGTTGAGTTGCCGGTTAGGCTGAGAAACTGCGGTATACAAGTAAAGTAAATAAATAAATAAAGCGGATCTTCAAGAATGCCTTCTGGCAATCCATCCTCACTACCTCTGAGGATGCTTGCCATAGATGCAGGCGAAACGTCAGGAGAAAATGCCTCTAGAACCTACAACAACCCAGTGATTCCGGCCATGAAAGCCTTCGACAATAAATCCAGTCCTGTTCCAACTGAAGAACGTCCTCCTTGCTCCATCATGGCATGCACTCTTGACAGGAATGTCATTCAATATCTTGAACAATCCAATCTCTTGGCCTCGCAAATGTGTCTCTATGATCTTCCTTCGCCTGCTTTTTTAACCCCTCACCAACTTTTGAGTCCTTTGTTGTTGTATGCCAGCCTGTGATTGTGTCTGATGTTCATGCTGGGAATGGGGATGATGTTCCTGATGATGGGTCTGGGTCTGTTGGCAATGGGAATGCGGGTTTGCCTGGGCCTGAGTGAAGCTCACAAGAGAGACTCGAAGGAAGGTTCACAAGGTTGCATTCCTGGGAGGGGCCCTTTGCGGTCTTTCTCAGAGCAACTGCCCTGGACCACCTTAGGGACTGAGAAGGACAGGCACCCTCCTTATCCACATTCCGTAAGGAACAGAAGACGTGGATGTTTCGTCGCACTTTTGATTGATGATTCCTGATACATGGCTCCTAACCATGACCTGAACTCAGTTCCTATATTTGATTACTATATTTTTAAGCTAAGATGTCCACTGGAGAAATTATACTGCTTAGCCGGTATTGCACCACCTGACATCCGCCGGGAAGTAGCAGCCAATAGTGAAAGGACCAAGGCAGAAACTTCTCCAGCTCACCCCGTTTGGGTATCAGCCAGCACGCCAACGACTTAAATCTAGAAATAGTTTTCTAAGATCTACAGAGACACTCGCTGAAACACCTTAGCAAGCGAGAGTCCAAAAGTGGCAGGCTCAAACCCAGAACCTCAACCAATGGCTGATACCAAACGAGAGACACACAGAAGACTGGGCGACTTGGAAGGCACTGAACAGACTGCGCTCTAGCACCACGAGATGCAGAGCCAACCTCAAGAAATGGGGCCACAAAGTGCAATCCACGACATGGAAGTGAGGAGAAGAGCGGCAGCCAGACTACTAACAAGAGCGGGGTACAAGGAGCATACTACTCCTCTGTTGCGCCAGCTCCACTGGCTGCCAATTAGCTTCCGAGCACAATTCAAAGTGCTGGTGTTAACCTATAAAGCCCTAAACAACTCCGGCCCAGTTTACCTGTCCAAACGTATCCTCCCCTATGAACCATCAAGATTGCTAAGATCGTCTGGAGGGGCCCTACTCTCGGTCCCACCGGCCTCACAAGCGCATCTGGTGGGGACGAGGGACAGGGCCTTCTCGGTGGTGGCCCCTCGACTCTGGAACTCCCTTCCACTGGAGATCAGAACTGCCCCTTCTATCTTGACGTTCAGAAGACAGGTGAAAACTTGGCTCTGGAAATTGGCATTCGACGAATGAGCCATGATCCTGTGATATGGGTGGATGATGACGAATAATGATTTTTGATGACGACTGACCATTGTAATTATATGACTGTATTTTGCTATTTTAATGCTTTAGTGTGATTTAGAATTTGATATTTTTAATGACTGTCTGTAATATTGATGTTGGAAACCGGCCTGAGTCCCTCGATGGAGATGAAAAGACTGGTATACAAAACTGCTAAATAAATATAATATAATATCACAAAGGACGACCACCTCACCCGCCTCATAGGAAACCTGCTACAAAACAGGAGCTTTTTATTTATTTATTTATTTATTTATTTATTTACTGCATTTGTTAACCGCCGCTCTCAGCCCTGGGGTGACTTGCGGCGGTGTACAACATATAAAAACAGTTTACAAAAGCACACAATATATCAACACAACCATATTACACATTAATCTAAATCACACTAACAAATCCGCACCGTCACAACATAGAATCATAGCCAGTCTCATAATCCATAATCCGTTCCAGTTGTCATTGCCAGATTCGTGTAGCTCTCAATTAAATGCCTTCTCGAAGAGCCAGGTCTTTAGGTTCTTACGGAAAGCCATAAGGGAGGGCGCCTGTCTGATGTCAACAGGGAGGGTGTTCCACAGCCGGGGGGCCACCACTGAGAAGGCCCTCTCTCTCGTCCCCGCCAGACGTGCCTGTGAGGCAGGCGGGATCGAGAGAAGGGCCTCCCCAGACGATCTCAAGGCCCTCGTGGGCTCATAGGCCGAGATGCGGTCCGAAAGGTATTTTGGGCCGGAACCGTTTAGGGCTTTGTAGGATAACACCAGCACCTTAAATTGGGCCCAGTAGCAGATCGGCAGCCAGTGGAGCTGGGACAACAAGGGCGTTGTGTGCTCCCTGCGTCCCGCTCCCGTTAGTAACATGGCTGCCGCGCGCTGGACTAGCTGAAGCTTCCGGGCCGTCTTCAAGGGCAGCCCCACGTAGAGAGCGTTGCAGTAGTCAAGGCGGGATGTGACCAGAGCGTGTACCACCGTGGCCAAGTCAGACTTTCCAAGATACGGGCGCAGCTGGCGCACAAGCCGAAGCTGTGCAAATGCTCCCCTGGTCACCCCTGAAACCTGGGGATCCAGGCTCAAAGATGAATCCAGGTTGAGTTCGGGGAGATGGAGGCGGGGTAGAAAAATAAAGTTGTTGTTGTTATTATTATTATTCAAATACTGCAAATACAGTACTTACTTTTTCTCTTCCCCACTTCCAAGTCAGACGTTGCTGCTTCATGTAAGAGCACTATCCCCAGGGTCACACCAGCATCTGAGAAAGCGGTTTAAGGATCTACCACTGGTATTTGACTCAAGAAGGCTGTTTAACTTTTGGGAAAGCAACCTGGCTTTTGGGTTGTTGTAGGTTTTTTCAGGTTATCCTCACTACCTCTGAGGATGCTTGCCATAGATGCAGGTGAAACATCAGGAGAGAATGCCTCTAGAATATGGCCATATAGCCCAAAAAACCTACAACAACCCATCTCATTTTACCACAAAAAACTGGAAAAATGTATTGACTCGAGTAGAAGCCAAGAGTGGGAAATGCAGCCGTATGGGTAAATTTCAGGCACAGTAAGTTAAATGTTTTTGAATATTTACATAAAACTAAGACTGTCCAACTCTGATCAAACCATTATTCTAACCTTCAATGTAAATGTGCTCACGCATCCTTCGAATAATAATAGAGTAAAATAATAAATATAATAATAATAGAGTAAAATGGAAATGCGATAACAGTAATAATACAGCAAAACATTAAATGTAATAATAATAGAGTAAAATAATAAGTGTAACAATAACAATAATAAAGTAAAATAATAAATGAAAAATACAATACAAAACTTTGTTATGGTCACTGACCAGCACAAAGAATAATAAATGTAATAACAATAATAGAGTAAAATAATAAATATAATAATAGAGAATAATAAATGTAATAATAAAGAGAGTAAAATAATAAATGTAAAAATAATAATAGAGTAAAATGGAAATGTGATAACAGTAATAATAGAGCAAAACATTACATGTAATAACAATGAGAGTAAAATAAATGCAACAATAACAATAATACAGTAAAATAATAAATGAAAAATACAATACAAAACTTTATTAAGGTCACTGACCAGCACAAAGAATAATAAATGTAATAATAAAGAGAGTAAAATAATAAATATAATAATGAAAGTAAAATAATAAATATAATAATGAAAGTAAAATAATAAATGTAATAACAATAATAGATAAAAATAATACATGTAATGATAATAATAGAGTAAATAAATGTCATAATACTAAGAGTAAAATATTAAGTGAAATAATAACAATAATAGAGTAAAATAATAAATGTAATAATAATGAGAGTAAAATAATAAATGTAATAACAATAATAGATAAAAATAATACATGTAATGATAATAATAGAGTAAATAAATGTCATAATACTAAGAGTAAAATATTAAGTGAAATAATAACAATAATAGAGTAAAATAATAAATGTAATAATAATGAGAGTAAAATAATAAATGTAATAACAATAATAGATAAAAATAATACATGTAATGATAATAATAGAGTAAATAAATGTCATAATACTAAGAGTAAAATATTAAGTGAAATAATAACAATAATAGAGTAAAATAATAAATGTAATAATAATGAGAGTAAAATAATAAATGTAATAACAATAATAGATAAAAATAATACATGTAATGATAATAATAGAGTAAATAAATGTCATAATACTAAGAGTAAAATATTAAGTGAAATAATAACAATAATAGAGTAAAATAATAAATGTAATAATAATGAGAGTAAAATAATAAATGTAATAACAATAATAGATAAAAAATAATACATGTAATGATAATAGAGTAAATTAGTAAATGCCATAATAATAAAAAATATGTCATAGAAATGTCATAAAATTATAGTCATAAAATAATAAATAAATAAAACGTCATAAAATAATAGAGTAAAATAATGTAAATGTAATCATAATAATATATAGAATAAAATAATATATTTAATAATCATCATCATAATAATAAGATAAAATAAGAGATAACTTTGACGCAAGTATAAGCCGAGGGGGACGTTTTCAGTCTAAAAAGAGAACTGAGAAACTCGGCTTATACTCGACTATATATGGTATTCTATATCTCACTTGAAGAACATACAATACAAGAGCAGCACGAGATGTCATCCTAATCATCCTAAACATATCAAGATGGGTCTCTATAAATGCATGAAGGTATAGACACACTACGGCTCAGTGAATTTCCTTCCAGAGTGCCTTGCTTCTTGGCATTAGTAAAGGTACAGGGCATACTATTTCAAGTTTGCAATGTTGTTAGTACATGTGACATCAGGTGAAGAAGCACAACATTTGCCTGACTTCACACAATTAGGCTTAGTGTTGAACTTTGTTGAGAAGGATACTGAACAAGAGAACAATGTGTGTTTCGGCCACAAACTGAGCCTGGCTGCTTCCGTGGATATAGTTCTGCAAGAGAAAACATTTGGAAAGTAAGTGGTGCTGTTATTGGAAGCATGCAGTCCCTGGATGGGATCTGTCCACTCTTTTGGAGGCAAAACTCCCTGGAGATCGTCCTCCTGGTCAGCTAATAACATAATAAAATATAAAAATATAATATAATATATTGTATATACATATAATATTTATAATATTATAACGTAATACAATATTTATTTATTATTTATTTATTTACTTTGCTTATATACCGCTGTATCTCAAGCACGAAGGCGACTCACAGCGGTTCACAAACAGTAAAAACAGTAGAAACAGCAGTGGTTCCATACAACATATAACAATTGACTTAACACATTATCCATAAATTACCAATAAGCAATTACAATGCACAATTATTACAAAAAACAACCGTACCCAATCTTCTCATCATCCAAGCGTAGTCCAGGTTCGTCGTCCATTGTTCCATATTCCTATGTTCCATTACCAGATTGCACTAAATTACTCAAACGCCTGCACAAACATCCAGGTCTTCACCTTTTTGCGGAATACCATTAGAGATGGTGCTAGTCTAATGTCCGTAGGAAGGGCGTTCCACAGCCGAGGAGCCACCACTGAGAAGGCCCTATCTCTCGTCCCCGCCAGCCGAGCTTGAGAAGCAGGCGGGATCGAGAGCAGGGTCTCCCCGGAAGATCTCAAAGTCCTGGTGGGTTCATAGGCAGAGATGCGGTCGGATAGGTAGCTTGGGCCGGAACCGTTTAGGGCTTTAAAGGCCAACGCCAGCACTTTGAATTCAGCCCGGTAGCAGATCGGTAGCCAGTGGAGTTGGCGCAACAGGGGGGTTGTATGCTCCATGCGCTCCGCTCCTGTTAAAATCATGGTATAATTATATATTTACATTATATGTCGCAGTGTCGCGATGGTCTATAAGGATTTTATCCCCATGACCAGGTGCCCCATCCCACAGTCATCTTCTTTTGAGTGTATCAGCATCAGGATTGGTGACCGGGACAGGATAGGGATTCTATTAGTGTACCGACCACCCCGCTGCACAACAGTATCCCTACCTGAGCTAGCAGGGGTGGTCTCGGACTTGGCTTTGAGTTCTCAACGGCTCTAGTGATGGGAGACTTCAATGTCCATGCTGAGGCCCCCCCCTTCAGGCGCGGCTCAGGACTTCATGGCCGCCATGGCAACCATGGGCCTGGCCCAATTAATATCTGGTCCCACCCATAATGCCGGGCACACATTGGATTTGGTTTTTTTGTCAGGGATGGGATGAAGGTGATGGGGTGGAGGAGCTGACCATCGCTCCATTGCCATGTACCGATCACCATCTGATCAGGTTTAGACTTACTGTGCCTCTCACCCTTCGCAGGGGTGGTGGGCCCATTAGAATGGTCCGCCCCAGGAGACTTATGGATCCTAATGGTTTCTTGATGGCTCTTGGGGAGTTCTCCACCTCCTAGGCTAGTGACTGTCGATGCTCTGGTCTCTAGCTGGGACAGTGAGATGACAAGGGCAATTGATATAATCGCTCCGGAGCGCCCCCTCTCGAGTAGCCAAGCTAAACCTGCCCCTTGGTTTACTGAGGAGCTGGCAGCGATGATGCGAGAGAAGAGGAGGCTAGAGTGCGTGTGGCATCAGAGGCCTACCAAATCAACCCAAACAAGTCTGAACACCTTTCTAATGTCCTACGACATGGCAATAGTGGCGGCACAGAAATTATTTCTTGCTGCCAATATTACATCCGCAAAGAACCGTCCAGCTATTCCGAGTCGTCAGAGGACTATTAAATCCGCCGAAGAACAAGATCCTTGACGACTCGGTGGCTCACTGTGAAGCATTTGCTTGTTTCTTTGCGGATAAAGTTGCGTTGATCCGGTCTGACCACGGTGGTTCACGCTCTTGTTACATCCTGAATAGATTACTGTAATGCGCTCTACATGGGGTTGCCTTTGAAGACTGTTCGTAAACTTCAATTAGTCCAACGGGCGACAGCTAGATTACTCATCGGAGCATCATACAGGAAGCATACCACCCCCCTGCTGTGTCAGCTCCACTGGCTGCCGATCCAGTTCCAAGCACAATTCAAAGTTCTGGTTTTGACCTACAAACCCCTTTACGGCTCCGGCCCAGCGTACCTGTCTGAACGTATCTCCTTCTACGTCCCACCTTGGAATTTAAGATCTTCTGGGGAGGCCCTGCTCTCGGCCCCACCTTTATCACAAGTGAGACTGGTGGGGACGAGGGACAGGGCCTTCTCGGTGGTGGCTCCTCGCCTGTGGAATGCACTCCCCGGGGAGATTAGGTCATCAACATCCCTCCTCTCCTTCAGAAGGAAGTTAAAAAAGCTGGATGTGGGACCAGGCCTTCGGGTAAGATGGCAGATGGGCAAAAGACAATGACGACCAGAGTAGGAAAGGACAATGACGATGCTGGATGGGTCATGGATTTATGAATTGGCAAACACTGACCACAAGATGATTTTATTGCTGCAACTGTATTGTTTTGATTGTTTTAACTTGTTATAATTGTTGACATTATATGGTAATTTTGTATATTGTATTTTGTGAATTGTTAGGCATCGAATTGTGCCTTTTGTAAGCCGCCCTGAGTCTCCCTTAGGGGGTTGATAAGGGCGGGGTAGAAGCACCCCAAATAAATAAATAAATAAATAAATAATATTACTAATAATGTTACAATTTACTGGTATATAGTAATATATAATACTGATATTGTACTATGCTAATAATATAATATATGTATATATATCTTGTAAGCCTCTCTGAGTCCCCTTCGGGTTGAGAAGGTCAGCATATAAATGCTGTAAATAAATAAGTAATAAATAAAATAAGCCAGAAGAGCCACTTCCCACCGCCCTTTTTTTAATATACAGAGGATAGGAAGATGCATTTTAAATAGAAGGCAAAAGTGCACCAGCTACAATCACCTTCATAAGTGTCAATGGAAAAATGTTTGTTTCACGGTTGGTCCTTACCACTTGGCCTGTGTGAGGATTCTTATGCGCATAGGGCGGCCCTCGGATGTGGTTCCACATTTGCCCCGAAGTCATGGCTAGAACGAAGCACTAGAAAGCAAATAAAATGAAGAGATTGTACATCATGTGGGAAATTCCATAACCTATTGGAAATAGGTGCACCATAACCTTACTGAAAAGGTAAAAATGATGTCACATTGTTTGGCAAATCTGAATCTCCATGAATATGTGGAGACCACCTCTTAAAGACCACTAGCCAAGATAAGCATGACCTTGTTAGATGTGACGGCGCCACCTGTGTAGAACTGTTAGTTGCAAGATTTAAACTGTTGTATCATGCTTAATCCTGCCTTTTTACCCTGCTTATGTATAGTTGGATTGATTGTTTATTTAAAGCTGTCAATCAGTATTGTCTGGCTCCACCTCTTCCTGGAGGAGGGGAGTGTTTCCCTTTTTTCATTCTGCCATCAGAGTTTCTATCAGATGGACCTGAGTAAGACACTTGGCTCTAAAAGCCCCTGTTTAAATTACCTCTCATCACCAATTCTAAGGTTTTTTACCCTTGGGACTCATGCTTTATGTCCAGAACGTCCTGGACAATATTGAGGAGACCCAAGCGCCTTCAAACCAGTTCTTTTGGTACCAGAGGAAGGTCTTGTCCCTTCAACATAGGCCATTGGACTGGGGTTGTGTTTATTCCGATATTCACAGCCATTGAGGAAAGAGGAAACAGGAAAAGCTTCTCAGCTTCAAACTCCTTGGACTTCAGAGATTGTAAAGTATATTTCCTTTATCCCTGTTGAAACATTAAGCTTATGCCTGAGAAAGATAACTCATTGTGAACAATAAATACCATTTCGAGTTATCTGTTGTGTTTTGGTCTTTGGGAGTTCCAGTTTCCTATAGGAGGGCAAGAAGCAATCCCCTGGGGAAAGATGCCACGTCCATGCCTCTTTCACTAAGAGTTATAGTCCCCAGGCGCGATGGCACATTAGACATCAATCGTTTGAACAAGCGATATTCATAGGTATTCATGTAATGGCATCCAGGTAACTCAGCTGTTAGACTGAAGAACCATGTCTTTGAACTGCCAAGGGTAAAGACATGCCATTGCACAAAATAAATTTGGTTAGCAGAGGATGGTTGTTTCTTTGCTGTTAAAATTTGCAGTTGCCCAAAAGATATACACTCCCTTGAAACCTTTTAGTTAAAATATGCATACATAGATTAAAAAAACGAAGTCTTCTTTGAAAAATAACAAATCTTGTTATTGTTGTAGGTTTCTCCGGGCTATATGGCCATGTTCTGGAGGCAATTTTTCTCCTGATGTTTCACCTGCAAAATCACTCTCAACAAAAGATTCCCCCCAGGCACTTCCAAGCCATTGAATGCTAATCAAGGTGATCAGCTGAAACATTCACACCTAGCTCCAGCAGGGAAGAGCTCCTTGCCCCACCCCAGCCATTCCACAGATATATAAACCCATTTTTCCTACTTCCAACAGACCTCACTACCTCTGAGGATGCTTGCCATAGATGCAGGCGAAACGTCAGGAGAAAATGCCTCTAGAACATGGCCATATAGCCCGGAAAAACCTACAACAACCCAGTGATTCCGGCCATGAAAGCCTTCGACAATACATTAAATCTTGTTATTTTATTTCCTGTGCTGGTCTATGACCAACATAAAGGATTTGTTTGTTTGCGGCAACACCAGAGGCACTCCAAGTGGCCAGATACTGGTCAAAGGACATTTAATCAACTACCAAGTTTGCAAAACTTATGTTTTTTTATCTGTTTGTTTGTTTTGTTCTGTTAGAAATGTAATACAATGCTCTGGTTGCTGATGACACGATAAAATAAAACTAGCCACTTCTGTGTTGCTGTAGTACTGAAAAGACCTTCCTTGCCCATGGACTCAAGGCAGAGATGAACCTTGACAGAGAGTTGAAAGCTGTAGAAGTGAGTCTGCTTACCAACGCAGCTAACGCCCATCCGGTCTTGTTATGCAGAAAATCCAGGTTGCTTCTCCTTAAGTACACCAGGCCACCAATGACTGCCAGCAGCAGGCCCAGCATCAAGGGCCCAGCGTAGTTCGGAGGCCTTATCACTCGGATCTAGGACAAACGGCATTGGGATTTGAAGGAGGGGGTCCAACAGTCACTTCTATGCAAAAATACCCACCTAGAATCATAGAATCCTAGAATCAAAGAGTTGGAAGAGACCTCCTGGGCCATCCAATCCAACCCCATTCTGCCAAGAAGCAGGAATATAGCATTCAAATCACCCCTGACAGATGGTCATCCAGCCCCTGTTGAAAAGCTTCCAAAGAAGGAGCCTCCACCACACTCCGGGGCAGAGAGTTCCACTGCTGAACGGCTCTCACAGTCAGGAAGTTCCTCCTCATTTTAAGATGGAATCTCCTTTCTTGTAGTTTGAAGCCATTGTTCCCTTGCGTCCTAGTCTCCAGGGAAGCAGAAAACAAGCTTGCTCCCTCCTCCCTGTGGCTTCCTCTCACATATTGATACATGGCAATCATATCCCCTCTCAGCCTTCTCTTCTTCAGGCTAAACATGCCCAGCTTCTTAAGCCGCTCCTCATAGGGCTTGTTCTCCAGACCCTTGATCATTTAGTCACCCTCCCTATGACATATTCCCTTCTCGTATTTATTCATGGCTATCACGTCTCCTCTCATCCTTCTCTTCTTCAGGCTAAACATGCCCAGCTCCTTAAGCTGCTCCTCATACGGCTTGTTCTCCAGACCCTTTTATTGTTTTTAATGTCCCTGGCAAGCCTGAGCTCGTTTTGTGCTTTAGCCTTGCGGACCTTTTCCCTACAGGTGTTGGCTATTTGTTTGAATTCTTCTTTGGTGATTTCTCCTTTTTTCCACTTCTTGTGCATGTCTCTTTTATGTCTTAGCACTGTTAGAAGTTCTTTGGACATCCATTCTGGCTTCTTTGCACTTGTTCTATTTTTTCCCTTTGTTGGCACGGTTTGCAATTGCGCCTTGAGTATTTCACTCTTGAGAAATTCCCATCCATCCATAACTCCCTTGTCTTTTAGTATCTGTGTCCACGGAATGCTGCTCAGTGTTTCCTTCATTTTTTGGAAATCAGCTCTCCTAAAGTTCAAAATGCGGGTTTCACTAATCTTCGTTTCGGCCTTTCTTTGTACCTCAAATTGCAGGAGCACATGGTCAATTGCCCCTGCGTTTGTTGCTGTGTCTTTGTCAGTGTTGATGTGGAGAGTGTCTGGTTTGCCCAACCTGGAACATGCAACATATCATAGTCCTTCTTTAAGGGTTCCTTTCAAATCTAGGATACTATATCTCAGTGCGTGTGAATCATATCGATCTTTCTCTATCTATGGCTGGATGGCTCTTTGTCAGGAGGGTTTTGATTACGTTTTCTTGGCCGTGGTGGAGGGAGTTGGACTGGATGGCAGAGAGTTCCACTGCTGAACGGCTCTCACAATCAGGAAGTTCTTCCTCATGTTCAGATGGAATTTCCTCTCTTGTAGTTTGAAGCCATTGTTCCATTGCGTCCTAGTCTCCAAGGAAGCAGAAAATAAGCTTGCTCCCTCCTCCTCCCTGTGGCTTCCTCTCACATATTTATACATGGCTATCATATCTCCTCTCATCCTTCTCTTCCTGCCATAATATCAGGCAGAATATGCATATTTTAAGAAACAACTACCAAGTTATTCTGGTGCAACAGTGTCAACGTCCGGCCTTTACTTACATGGACGTCGGTCCGATCAGCCACCCAGCGGGCCAGCTGTTCTGCAGCAAAACCTCGCACCTGCAGCTCATACGTGTCCCCTCTTTTTGGTTTTCCTTTCGCCGGGAAGTTAATGAATGTTGGAGCAGAGTTCATGTTCAGCTGTCAATTTGGATGGAACAAAGTGGCACAGTGTTGCTTGAGTCGTCAATATTTAAAAACACACACTTTAAAAATGGAAATGATTTATTTAACAACCCCCCTCCCCCCAATATGCTAACTTAAACAATACTTAAAATTGCTCTGGGCATGTGCTCATTCTTTTTTAAAAAAATATTATAATAATATACATTACCATCTGAAAGACATCAGAGCCTTCATCGAAATCAACCATGGCAAAGAAGATCCTGTTGGTAAATGCACTTGAGTATCGCCAGGAGTTGGCCAGAATCTGGTATTCTTCATCAGCTTGCCTGAGTAAATAGTGTTTTTAAAAGAGTTTAGTCAAATGAATTTAAAAGAATTCATCTCAGAGCTTCTAGGAAAGTAAGGCCACACTTCTATACAGGATTATATCTGTTAACAAGGCCTCTGACAAAGAAACTGCTTTCTGCAAAGTCTGTACTGTTCTTCCTCATTCTTTCCATGTTATTTTTATCCCAGGTTTTGCAAGTAATGCTCAAGAATATGTGGGCTTTGTTCGCTAATATACACCTGGATTCTACTTCTGGATTTATTAGGGGGGAAAAAAACATGAAAAGACATTGTGTTCTCACAGTTCAACCAGACACTCTCCACATCAACACTAACAAAGGAACAGCAAAAAATACCGTTTACCCACAAGCAGAAAGACATGACATATATCAGAAACCAACACTTTCTCATTACTTTCTTTTCCAGATCACCAGACTGGGCCACAGCAACGCATGGCAGGGGACGGCTAGTAATAATAATAATAATAAATCCGATCTCATATTTTTAAAAATCTTGGCAAAAGGAAGCAAAAATACACTGAAGTTGGGATACTTAAGCAGCTTTTGATATCTGTTGTTTTTGTAAAAAAAGATTTAAGCTCACACAACACATTGTCGGTGAGGCTGAAGCGCAGTGAACATGATAATCACAGAATAGTTTCTCGACATTTCACTACTTCAGTACTTTTTCAGATGTCTTTTTCTGTGTGACAATGTTGGGAGGGGGGATATTTCCTTTTAAATCTTTTTACTGCCTTGTATTGATGTATTTCCCCCTTTTTAAATTGGCTGGGGCTTTCTTGTGAGCTTTTACTTTGAGGCTTTTATATTACAGGCTTGAGACACTCTTGTAGTAAACGAAGCAACAAAGTTTATTTATAGCTTCTGGCTCCAACACTTATGGTTACATTGGTGTGTACTGTTACAGTCTTGAGTCTTACAATCGATCTCATTCACTTAGTTAACTTTTCTTATCAAACTTCAACTGTTTCACATCAACGAATATGTTACTTTTTCATATACTCTTGACAGAACTATATTCCGCCTTAAACCACACTGGCACTTCTTCATTTCCCTTAAAACTTAAACTCCATTTTCCTAACTGCTTTTCTCTCACAGAAGTTCTTAACTATCCTTCACAAACAGGAATCCCTAACTGACTCATCTGACTCTCTAACTCAGTGGTTCTCACCCTGTGGGTCCCCAGGTGTTTTGGCCTACAACTCCCAGAAATCCCAGCCAGTTAACCAGCTGTTAAGATTTCTGGGAGTTGAAGGCCAAAACATCTGGGGACCCACAAATTGAGAACCACTGCTCTAACTGCTTATTTTTAAACTTAACTCCGCCCCTTTGGAATGTTCAGCTCTCTTCCCCCCAACTGCCATTCTGGCTCAGCGGCCCTTTCAAATCCTGGCCTACACTCATCTGCATACGACCAATCGGCTGCACGTATGCAAATTAATCTTACCTCTACTGTTGCTACCCTATTTCTGCAAATTCTGCCACATTGCAACATAGAACTATACATCAAAAATTTAACATAAATCAACAAATTCGCTACACCAGACTGGGCCACAGCAACGCCTGGCAGGGGACGGCTAGTAATAATAATAATAATAATAATAATAATAATAAATCCAATCTCATATTTTTAAAAATCTTGGCAAAAGGAAGCAAAAATACACTGAAGTTGGAATACTTAAGCAGCTTTTGATATCTGTTGTTTTTGTAAAAAAAAGATTTAAGCTCATACTTGCACACAACACATTGTCGATGAGGCTGAAGCGCAGTGAACATGATGGACGATGAAAGCGACAGCTCCCCTGGTGGCCAGAAAATGTTAAAGAGCCACTGTGTATGTCTGTATATGTTTGTATGTCAAAAATTGGCACTGAATGTTTGCCATATATGTGTACACTGTAATCTGCCCTGAGTCCCCTGGGGCAAGAACACATCCCTGTTTGACACCTGAAACTCTTTTTGAAACATTGCTCTGCAAGCAATTGATCTTATGTAACCACTAAGCATATACACTAATACAAACAAAGCCTCTCTCTCCCTTTCTCAATCAGTCTCTGTGTTATTTCTTTACAAGTGGTGGCAGCAGCAAGCAGTAGGAAGATGGAATAAAAAGTCCCTCCTTCCTGCCTGAAGATTTTGTTTTGCCTTGTTTGTTTTCGTCTGCTATTTTGTTACATATAATTTGATATTATGTTAAAAGAAACATTTACATATATTTATTTATTTTTATTTATTTACGACATGTATATTCCGCCCTTCTCAGCATTTCATATATATATATGTCACGCAGCATTTAATAAACCCGATCTCATATTTTTAAAAATCTTGGCCAAAGGAAGCAAAAATACACTGAAGTTGGGGATACTTAAGCAGCTTTTGATATCTGTTGTTATTGTAAAAAAAGAGAGATTTAAGCTCATACTTGCACACAACACATTGTCGGTGAGGCTGAAGCGCAGTGAACATGATAATCACAGAGTAGTTTCTCGGTGGCGCCTTCACCAGACGACGGAACTTGTCACCATTGAGACGAATGACGGACCTTTTGCTCGTCCACTCCATTAACTGGTTCACTTTTTCCGAAAGCACCATCTGGAAGGGTAAGATTGGAGACCAAAGCTTCACTTAGTATTCAGCGAGTCTTGTCTTCTAGGAAGCTCAGCTGTTCAATGCAACCAGACAGCATTTAAATTATCCTCAATTAAATTATCTTAAGAGCTGGCAAACTGGTTAGTCCTGTGATACATGTGGCTGAAGCTATTTATGGAGTGGGTTTTGTTTTTCTATAGAGAGCAGTTGATAAATACAGGAAGACTACAGGGACAGCACCGAAGATTAAAACAAAACAAGTTTGGAACTCTGCAGAGATGGCTCTTTCCCTTCGTAATTGTTTCTTCTATTCTTCCCATAAAGAGGAAATAGCTTCATATTCAACATTGTATTATATTCTGTAGGGCTGGGCGGTTTCGTTCGTTAATTTCGTAATTCGTTATTAATTCGTTATTTTTTTTATAACGAAGCGATATTGAACCATTCAGGAGCAACTAAAAAACAAAACAAATTTTTCCAATTCGTTTCGTAATTGTTTCGTTATTATTTCGTTATTATTTCCGTATGTCTGGTGCAAGTTTTATAGTCGTTGTTTGTTTTATCACACCAACAGTCAACAACAGAGGGAGAGGGAAGCTTCAGAAGTTCCCCCTGTCCCATTTGGAGGGTTTTTTTAGCGTATTGCGCAATCGCGTCCACCATTAACGAATCGATTTGTAATTGTTTCGTAATTTCCGAAATTTCGTAAATATCAAACTTTTTTTAAAGAAAAATTTCTGAATTCTTTTAAATAACGAAACGCAAAAACCTCCTAAAAACGAATCGAGTTTAGAAACAAATTTTTCCGTGGTTGGACAGCCCTAATATTCTGACAGACTATTATTAACATAGAAAATGTGCTTTATTTTAGAAGATGAATAGTAGCAGATAAAGAGTGCCAATACTGTAATTAATGAAATTCAATAATAAATTAACAATAATTAGAAAAAATAATACATTGAAATAATAACGAGAAATAATGCATGAACATAAAAGTAATGGATGAAATCCAATAATAAATGATTAATAATAATTAATAATAATTAGAATAATAATAAATAATACATGGAAATAATAACTAGAAATAATGCATGAACATAAAAGTAATGGATGAAATCCAATAGTAAAAGATTAATAATAATAATAATAATAATAATAATAAATAATACATGGAAATAATAACTGGAAATAATGCATGAATAGTAAAATAATGAATGAAATTCAATAATAAATTAACAATAATTAGAAAAAATAATAAAATATGGAAATAATAACTAGAAATAATGGATGAATATAAAAGTAATGGATGAAATTCAATAATAAATGATTAATAATAATTAGAATAATAATAATACATGGAAATAATAACTGGAGATAATCAATGAATATAAAAGTAATGGATGAAATTCAATAATGATTCATTAATAATAATTGCCCGAAAAACCTACAACAACCCAATTAGAATAATAATAACACATGGAAATAATATCTAGAAATAATGCTTGAATACAAAAGTAATCAATGAAATTCAATAATAAATTAACAATAAATAGAAAAAATAATGCATGGAAATAATATGCATGGATGGAAATAAATAATGCATAGAAATAATGCATGAACATAAAAGTAATAAATGAAATTCAATAATAAATTAACAATAATTAGAAAAAATAATACATGGAAATAATAACAGGAAATAATGCATGAATATAAAAGTAATGGATGAAATTCAATAATAAATTATTAATAATAATTAGAATAATAATAATACATGGAAATAATAACCGGAAATAATGCATGAATATAAAAGTAATGGATGAAATTCAATAATAAATTAACAATAATTAGAATAATTTATAAGACATGGAAATAATAACTAGAAATAATGCATGAATACAAAAGTAATGCATGAAATTCAATAATAAATTAACAATAATTAGAAAAAATAATACATGGAAATAATAACTGGAAATAATGCATGAATATAAAAGTAATGGATGAAATTCAATAATAAATGCTTAATAATAATTAAATTAATAATAAATAGTAACTGGAAATAATGCATGAATACAAAAGTAATGGATGAAATCCAATAATAAATGATTAATAATAATTACAATAATAATAAATAATACATGGAAATAATGCATGAATATTAAAGTAATGAATGAAATTCAATAATAAATGAATAATAATAATAAAATTAATAATAAATAGTAACTGGAAATAATGTATGAATACAAAGTAATGAATGAAATCCAATAATAAATTAACAATAATTATAGAAAATAATACATGGAAATAATAACGGGAAATAATGCATGAACATAAAATTAATGAATGAAATTCAATAATAAATTAACAATAATTAGAATAATATATAAGACATGGAAATAATAACTAGAAATAATGCATGAATATAAATATAATATTATATTTATATAATATAATATAAAATATATAATATGATTAAATTATAATATAATATAATATATATTATGTATGTTATATATTATATATTATATATATTATATTATATGATTAAATTCAATAATAAATTATTAACAATAATTCGAATAATAAATAATACATGGAAATAATAACTGGAGATAATCAATGAATATAAATATAATATATATAATATTATATATAAATAATATGATTAAATTCAATAATAAATTATTAACAATATTTAGAATAATAAATAATAACTGGAAATAATCATTGCAAATAATGCCTGACCCTAAAAGTAATGAATGAAAATCATCAATAAATGACTAATAAGAAATAGAAATAAATAATCACTAAAAATAATAACTGGAATCAATGGCTGACTTTGAAAAACAAGGAATTGAACTCAAGGCCTAGGCCAGGCATCCTCAAACTGTGGCCCTCCAACTGTTTGGGCCTCCAACTCCCAGAATTCCTGATAATTGAACAAGCTCATTAGGTCTTCTGGGAGTTGGAGGCCTAAACAGCTGGAGGGCCACTGTCTGAGGATGCCTGGCCTAAGCCAAGGCGCGCTCACCTCCTTCTTCTTCTGCCCTCCGACGCCTGTGGCGACCAAGCAGAGGGCGGCGAAGGCCAGGCCCAGAAGCCTGAGGGGGAGACGCGCCGCCATGACACTCTCCGCCGCCTTTCCCCTCACGGAGACACGGCCCCGCCCACCACTGCTTCCCCTGCTCCCATTGGCCGCGCCGCCAGCCGGGCCGGCCTCGGATTGGTCCGCCGCCACTGCCTCCGCCTCCCCATTGGCCAGATCGACTTCCTCCTCCGCCGAGACCCCGCCCACGCCTTCAATTTTTACTTTTGGGCTCGGAGTGAAAGCGAGGGCGGGGAGGGGGCGTGGCCAGCGGGGATGCCCTCGACGAATCAGAAAAAGGCAACCCGTTGCGATGTGATTGGCCGACGGAGGCTGGGGGAGGCGGGCTTTCGGGGAATGATTGACAGCGGAAAAAGAAAGGCAACCCGTTGCGTTGTGATTGGCCGACGGAGGCTGGGCGAGGCGGGTCTTCGGGGTATGATTGACAGCAAAGCAGAGCAAAGTGTGCAAAGCAGAGGGAAGGGAGGAGAGTCAGGTTTCCCTGCGGAACTCATGGAGACTTGACATACGTGCAGCTTGGGAAAGGATTCTAATGGGCTGCTGTGATTGTATAGGCTTTGAATGGTGCCAAGTTTGGTTCAATTCCATCATTGGTGGAGTGCAGAATGCTCTTTGATTGTAGGTGAACTACAAATCCCAGTGACTGCAACTCCCAAATGACAAAAATCAACCCCCTCCAACCTCCCCACCAGTACTAAAATTTGGGTGTATTGGGTATTTGTGCTAAATTTGGTCTAATGAATGGAAATACATCCTGCATACCAGATATTTGCACTATATAATTCATAATAATAGCAAAATTACAGTTGTGAAGTGGCAACGAGATTAATTTTATGATTTATTATTATTTATTATTATCATCAAGTTTATTATTATTTATTACTACTATCAAGCCATGGAGGAGCCTTTACGGTATCAGCCAACCAACCCACATACATACATTGGCTTTTATATATATGCATACACATGTCATATTTTTAAATGCTGGTTGAGAGTGGCACACCTGTTTGTATTTTCTCTTGGTCATGGAAGTTTTGTGTGCCAAGTCTGGTTCAACTCCATCCTTGGCGGAGTTGAGAGTGCTCTTTGATTGTAGGTGAACTATAGATCCCAGCAACTACAACTCCCCAATGTCAAGGTCTATTTACCCCAGACTCCACCAGTGTTTACATTTGGGCATATTGAGTATTTGTGCCAATTTTGGTCCAGATTATCATTGTGCTCTCTGGATGCAGGTGAACTACAAATCCAAAACTCAAGGGCAACGTCCACCAAACCCTTCCAGTATTGTCTGTTGGTCATGGAAGTTTTGTGTGCCAAGTTTGGTTCAACTCCATCCTTGGTGGAGTTCAGAATGCTCTTTGATTGTAGGTAAACTATAAATCCCAGCAACTACAACTCCCAAATGTCAAGGTCTATTTCACCCAAACTCCGTTTGTTTTCACATTTGGGCATATTGAGTATTTGCGCCAAGTTTGGTCCAGATCCATCATTGTTAGAGTCCACAGTGCTCTCTAGATGCAGATTAACTATAACTCCAAAACTCAAGGTCAGTGCCCACCAAATCCTTCCAGTATTTTCTCTTGGTCATGGGAGTTGTGTGTGCCAAGTCTGGTTCAACTCCATCCTTGGCGGAGTTGAGAGTGCTCTTTGATTGTAGGTGAACTATAGATCCCACCAACTACAACTCCCAAATGTCAAGTTCTATTTACCCCAAACTCCACCAGTGTTCACATTTGGGCATATTGAGTATTTGTGGCAATTTTGGTCCAGATTATCATTGTGCTCTCTGGATGCATGTGAACTACAAATCCAAAACTCAAGGTCAATGCCCACCAAACCCTTCCAGTATTGTCTGTTGGTCATGGGAGTTCTCTGTGCCGTTTGGTTCAATTCCATCGTTGGTGGAGTTCAGAATGCGCTTTGATTGCAGGTGTGTTAGACACCTTAAATTGGGTCTTATTTTATTTATTTATTTACTTTGCTTCTATACCGCTGTTCTCAGCCCGGAGGCGACTCACAGCGGTTCACAGTCAGTAAAAACAGCAATAATTCAATGCAACATATAACAACAATTAACAACTTAACATATTACCCGCTCAGTAAACAATTACTACCATAACCAAACCCAATCGTCTCATCGTCAAAAACATAATCCAGATCCGTCATCCAATTGTTCATTCCTATGTTCATTACCAATCATTGTACTAGTTATTCGAACGCCTGCACACACAGCCAGGTCTTCAGTTTTTTACGGAATACCATGAGAGATGGTCTTCTTAGGTCCACATCACAGGAGCACGAAAGGAAGGAGACAGTCCCAAAAAAAGATTTAAAAAAATAAGGTTTATTTTAGTTTCTTCATGAAGAAGACGGACAGCCTGGCAGCATATGCAGACGCTACCCTTCAAGTGACTGCCGTGCCCCCTTGGCTTTTTGACCACCGATTTATACCCTCAAGTAAACAAGAACATATTTTTTTGTCATGGAAAGTACTCTCTTTCCAGCCCTCTCCCTTGACCTTTTGATGAAAAGTACCTTCTTTTACCTGCAGACTCTGCACTTAACCACAACCTTTGAACTTAACCACAACACAACTTCCGACCTCTATATGTCACATCTTGTTTCTTAAAAACATTTTCTTCCGTGTTACTCTTTTTTTACAGAGAAAGGGTATGTTTCCCTTTTGCTGTTAATTTCATTCAAAGCCCCTTGCTTAGCATTTGCAAATTTCATTCAAAGACCTTTTCAGGTGAACTATAAATCCCAGCAACTCCAACTCCCAAATGACAAAATCCCAACTCCACCAGTATTCAGATTTGGGCGTATTGGGTATTTGTACCAAATGTGGTCCAGGGAATGAAAATGCATTCTGCATATCAGATATTTACATTAGGATTCATAACAGGAGCTAAATTTCAGTTCTGAAGTAACAATGAAAATAATTTTATGGTTATAGATTATAGGTTATGGTTATAGAGTTTAATCTATGCTGATGACCGTGCCATTACTGCTCAAGCAGGGAGCTTTGGGATGGTAGAACAGAAGCTTTTTGAAGCTCTAGGTGCTCTTACTGCCTATTACAGGGAAAACCAGCTGATCCCCAACCCATCTAAAACACAGACATGTGCTTTTCATCTCAAGAACAGACAAGCATCCCGAGCTCTGAGGATTACCTGGGAAGGAATCCCACTGGAGCATTGCAACACACCCAAATACCTGGGAGTCACTCTGGACCGTGCTCTGACCTACAAGAAGCACTGCCTGAACATCAAGCAAAAAGTGAGCGCTAGAAACAATATCATACGAAAGCTGACTGGCACAACCTGGGGATCACAACCAGACACAGTGAAGACATCTGCCCTTGCGCTATGCTACTCTGCTGCTGAGTATGCATGCCCAGTGTGGAACACATCTCACCACGCTAAAACAGTGGATGTGGCTCTTAATGAGACATGCCGCATTATCACGGGGTGTCTGCACCCTACACCACTGGAGAAATTACACTGCTTAGCCGGTATTGCACCACCTGACATCCGCCGGAAGTAGCAGCCAATAGTGAAAGGACCAAGGCAGAGACATCCAGCTCATCCCCTGTTTGGGTATCAGCCAGCACGTCAACGACTTAAATCAAGACATAGTTTTCTAAGATCTACAGAGACACTCGCTGGAACACCTCAGCAAGCGAGAGTCCAAAAGTGGCAGGCCCAAACCCAGAATTTGATACCAAATGAGAGACTCCCCCCTGGGCAAACGGAAGACTGGGCGACTTGGAAGGTGCTGAACAGACTGCGCTCTGGCACCACAAGATGCAGGGCCAACCTCCAGGAATGGAGCCACAAAGTGGAATCCTTGACATGCGAGTGTGGAGAAGAGCAAACCACTGACCACTGCTGCAATGCACCCTGAGCCCTGCCACATGCACAATGGAGGACCTTCTTGCGGCAACACCAGAGCCACTCCAAGTGGCCAGATACTGGTCAAAGGACATTTAATCAACTACCAAGTTTGCAAACTCTGTGTTTTTAAAAAAATCTGTTTGTTTGTTTTGTTCTGTTAGAAATGTAATACAATGGTATGGTTGCTGATGACACAATAAATATAGGTCCAGGTCTATCATTGTGCTCTCTGGATGTAGTTGAACTATAACTCCAAAATTCAAGGTCAATGCCCACCAAATCCTTCCAGTATTGTCTCTTGGTGATGGGAATTCTATGTTCAAAGTTTGATTCAATTCCATCATTGGTGGAGATCAGAATGCTCTTTGATTGTAGGTGAACTATAAATCCCAGCAACTACAATTCCCAAATGTCAAGGTCTATTTACCCCAAACTCCATTAGTTTTCACATTTGGGCATATTGAGTATTCATGCCAAGTTAGGTCCAGGTCTATCATTGTGCTCTCTGGATGTAGGTGAACTATAACTCCAAAATTCAAGATCTATGCCCACCAAACCCTTCCAATATTATCTGTTGTTCATGGGAGAACTGTGTGCCAAGTTTGGTTCAATTCCATCATTGGTGGAGTTCAGAATGCTCTTTGGTTGTAGGTGAACTATAAATCCCAGCAACTACAACTCTGGAATGTCAAGGTCTATTTCCCCCAAAATCCATCTGTGTTAATACGGAGCATTTGTGCCAAGTTTGGTCCATATCCATCATTGTTTGAGTCCACAGTGCTCTTTGGATGTAGGTGAACTGCAACACCAAAACTCAAGGTCAATTTGCAGCAATCCCAGCAACTACAACTCCCAAATGTCAAGGTCTGTTTTCCCCAAACTCCACCAGTGTTCACATTTGGGCATATTGAGTATTTGCGCCAAGTTTGGTTCAGATCCATCATAGTTTGAGCCCACAGTACTCTCTGGATGTAGGTGAACTGCAACTCCCAGACTCAAGGTCAATGCCCACCAAACCCTTCCAATATTATCTGTTGTCCATGGGGGTTCTGTGTGCCAAGTTTGCTTCATTTCCATCATTGGTGGGGTTCAGAATTGTATTTGATTGTAGGTGAACTATACATCCCAGCAACTACAAGCTCCCAAATGTCAAGGTCTATTTACCCCAAACTTCATTAGTTTTCACATTTGGGCATACTGAGTATTCATGCCAAGTTAGGTCCAGGTCTATCATTGTGCTCTCTGGATGTAGGTGAACTATAATTCCAAAATTCAAGGTCAATGCCCACCAAACCATTCCAGTAATGTCATGGGAATTCTATGTGCAAAGTTTGATTCAATTCCATCATTGGTGGAGTTCAGAATGCTTTTTGATTGTAGGTGAACTATAAATCCCAGCAACTACAAACTCCCAAATGTCAAGGTCTATTTCCCCCAAACTCTATCTGTGTTCATATGGAGCATTTGTGCCAAGTTTGTTCCAGATCCATCATAGTTGGAGTTCAGAATGCTCTTTGATTGTAGGTGAACTATAAATCCCAGCAAGTACAACTCCCAAATGTCAAGGTCTATTTTCCCCAAACTCCACCAGTGTTCACATTTGGGCATATTGAGTATTTGCGCCAAGTTTGGTCCCGATCTATCATAGTTTGAGTCCACAGTGTTCTCTGAATGTAGGTGAACTGCAACTCCCAAACTCAAGGTCTATGCCTACCAAACCCTTCCAATATTATCTGTTGTTCATGGGAGTTTTGTGTGCCAAGTTTTGTTCAAGTCCAGCATTGGTGGGGTTCAGAATGCTCTTTGATTGTAGGTGTGTTAGAGACCCTAAATTGGGTCTCCATAGGTCCACATCACGGGAGCACGAAAGGAAGGAGACAGTCCCAAAAAATAATAAATAAAAAAGGTTTATTTTAGTTTCTTCATGAAGAAGACGGACAGCCTGGCAGCATACGCAGACGTTACCCTTCAAGTGACCCCTTTGGCTTTTTGACCATCCTGCAAATCTCTCGGGAAGACAAGCGGACAAACATCAGTGTGCTGGAAGAAGCAAAGACCACCAGCATTGAAGCGATGGTCCTCCAACATCAACTCCGCTGGGCCGGCCACGTTGTCCGGATGCCTGACCACCGTCTCCCAAAGCAGTTGCTCTACTCTGAACTCAAGAACGGAAAACGGAACGTTGGTGGACAGGAAAATAGATTTAAAGATGGGCTCAAAGCCAACCTTAAAAACTCTGGCATAGACACTGAGAACTGGGAAGCCCTGGCCCTTGAGCGCTCCAGTTGGAGGTCAGCTGTGACCAGCAGTGCTGCAGAATTTGAAGGCACGAGTGGAGGGTGAAAGAGTGAAACGTGCCAGGAGGAAGGCGCGTCAAGCCAACCCCGAACGGGACCGCCTTCCACCTGGAAACCAATGCCCTCACTGCGGAAGAAGATGCAGAGCAAGAATAGGGCTCCACAGCCACATACGGACCCACAAGGAAATCCATAATGGAAGACCATCTTACTCGTCCAACGAGGGATCGCCTAAGTAAGTAAGTAAGTAAGTAATACCCTGAAGTAAACAAGAACATTTTTTTGGTCATGGAAAGTACTCTCTTTCCAGCCCCTCTCCCTTGACCTTTTGATGGAAAGTACCTTCTTGTACCTGCAGACTCTGCGCTTAACCACAACCTTTGAACTTAACCACAACACAACTTCCGACCTCTACATGTCACATCTTGTTTCTTAAAAACATTTTCTTCCGTGTTGCTCTTTTTCTACAGAGAAAGGGTATATTTCTCTTTTGTTGTTAATTTAATTCAAAGCCCCTTGCTTAGCATTTGCAAATTTCACTCAAAGATCCTTTCAGGTGAACTATAAATCCCAGCAACTCCAACTCCCAAATGACAAAATCCCAACCCCACCAGTATTCAGATTTGGGCGTATTGGGTATTTGTACCAAATATGGTTCAGGGAATGAAAATGCATCCTGCATATCAGATATTTACATTAGGATTCATAACAGGAGCAAAATTCCAGTTCTGAAGTAACAATGAAAATAATCTTTTTAAATTTATATCTAAATTTAAAAAGAGTCATAAATGCAAAATGATTTTTTTTTTATTTCCAAAAAAAAAGGAATGTGTCAGAAGTGGGATTCGAACCCACGCCTCCAATCGGAGACCAGAACACCCAGCCCCGTTGTTTCCGGGAAGGCTCCGCCTTGAGTCTGGCGCCTTAGACCACTCGGCCATCCTGACACTGCGGCAGAGAGGCGCGCCAGGAGGCTCTCATGCCCTACGCTGATTTCGCTCGCCCCGCCCACTTCCGGCTTCGCTTGCCTCCTCTCTCTCTCTCTCTGTCGGAATGACCGCCGCCTAGCGGTTTCCCCAGGTTAATACTCCTCCAGAATGCTCCGCGCCTACTACTGCGCAGGCGCAAACCGGCCACTTCCTTTTCCGTTCGGCGGCCATTTTGTTTTTCAGTGTTTTCTTGTGACCTGAGGAAGGAGAGGAGGATGTTTCCCTTGGCTAGAGGCGCGCTGGGCCTGGCGGGTGAGAGCTTCTTTCTCTATATCTCTGTAATGGTAAAAAGGTGAAGGTTGTCTTCTGACATGTCAGGCTCTGGGACTCTGGTGCTCCTCTCCATTTCTAAGCCTTGGAAGAGCCGGCGTTGTCCGTAGGCACCTCCAAGGCCATGTGGCCGGCATGACAGCACGGAGCGCCGTTATCTCTTTACAACATGTTCATTATTGAATATGGGTTATAGATTATAGATAAGTTATAGGTAAAAATGGGCGAGATACATAATAGTAATAATACTAATAATAATGCCACGCAGGAAGAGCACAATCAAAGCCTCACTGACAGATGACCATCAAGCCTCTGTTTAAAAGTTTCCAAGGAAGGACTGCGAGGCAGAGAGTTCCACTGTTGAACAGCGCTCCTTACAGTCTGGAAGTTCTTCCTCATAATCTTCGGTTGAATCTCCTTCCCTGTCATTTGAACCCATGGCTCCATTGAGTCCTAGTTTCCAGGGCAGAGAAAACAAGCCTGCTCCCTCTTCCTTGGCTCTCTTGTCTGCTCTCGGTATTCTTTTCTGAGGCTAAATAATAATAATAATAATACTTATTATTTATATTTATTTATTATTTATTTACAGCTTTTATATTCCGCCCTTCTCCTCACCCCGCAGGGGACTCAGGGCGGATTACAGTGTACACATATATGGCAAACATTCAATGCCAATTTTAACATACAAACATATACAGACATTTGTTGTTCATTCGTTCAGTCGTCTCCGACTCTTCATGACCTCATGGACCAGCCCACGCCAGAGCTCCCTGTCGGCCGTCTCCACCCCCAGCTCCTTCAAGGTCAGTCCAGTCACTTCAAGGATGCCATCCATCCATCTTCCCCTTGGTCGGCCCCTCTTCCTTTTGCCTTCCACTTTCCCCAGCATCATTGTCTTCTCTAGGCTTTGCTGTCTCCTCATGATGTGGCCAAAGGACTTCAACTTTCCCTCTAGTCTCCTTCCCTCCAATGAGCAGCCGGGGTTTATTTCCTGGAGGATGGACTGCTGGAGCTAGGTGTGAATATTTCAACTGAGCACCTTGATTAGCATACAATGGGCTGACTGTGCCTGGAGCAAACTCTTCTTAAAAGGTAATTAGATGTCCCTGCCTGTTTCCTCTCTGCTGTTTTTGCTGTTGCAATTTTAGAATTTTTTAATACTGGTAGCCAGATCTTGTGAGATAGAATCCTAGAATCAAAGAGTTGGAAGAGACCTCATGGGCCATCCAGTCCAACCCCATTCTGCCAAGAAGCAGGAATATTGCATTCAAATCACCCCTGACAGATGGCCATCCAGGCTCTGTTTAAAAGCTTCCAAAGAAGGAGCCTCCACCACACTCCACTACTGAACGGATCTCACAGTCAGGAAGTTCTTCCTCATGTTCAGATGGAATCTCCTCTCTTGTAGTTTGAAGCCATTGTTTCGTCCTAGTCTCCAAGGAAGCAGAAAACAAGCTTGCTCCCTCCTCCCTGTGGCTTCCTCTCACATATTTATACATGGCTATCATATCCCCTCTCAGCCTTCTCTTCTTCAGGCTAAACATGCCCAGCTCCTTAAGCCGCTCCTCATAGGGCTTGTTCTCCAGACCTTTTATCATTTTAGTCGCTCTCCTCAGGACACATTCCAGCTTGTCAATATCTCTCTTGAATTGTGGTGCCCAGAATTGGACACAATATTCCAGGTGTGGCCAAACAAGGCGGAATAGAGCACGGGGAGTATGACTTCCCTAGATCTAGACACTAGGCTCCTATTGATGCAGGCCAAAATCCCATTGGCTTTTTTTGCCGCCACATCACATTCCTGGGTCATGTTTAACTTGTTGTCCATGAGGACTCCAAGATCTTTTTCACACGTACTGGTTGTGAGAGTGGTGCAGCATTTTTGTGTTTGGGCGCTGCGTTTGGTGGTCCCTACTCTAAAAAACTTTTTAAACAGAGGGCCAGGTCACAGTTTCTCAAACTGTTGGAGGGCCGTAGTATAACTTGAAAAAATGAATTATTATTATTATTATTATTTATTAAATTTTATTTGTACCCCGCTAGCATCTCTCGAAGGACTTGATGCGGCTTACACAGGCCAAGGCCTCAATAACAAAACAACAATACAGTCTAAGCAAATCAAACAATTAAAACAAAAATAAAGCAAAAAGAAACAACAGGCAATAAACAATACACTAAAGCAGAATAAAACTGGGCTGGGCCAGAGTAATGGGTACAAGGTTAAAAGTGCTGATGTGACATGTGGTATATATGAGGCTTCTAGGGCAAGTGCGGTGTGCTGTGTGCAGCAATCATTGGTTCTAGTAAAGTGCTTATGGGACTTGGCAGTGGAGATTTCCTAATCTGGGAATTTCTTTGCACACTGGACCTGCTTTTGGCTGATGAGATAGGATTGTTGTTGTGTGCTTTCAAGTTGTTTCAGTCTACCATATACCCTGCAGCTGTGGACAAGAAGTCTATGTAGGGACCACCAAACGCAGCAGCATTGCCCGACACACAAATCAAGGAACATGAAAGGCACTGCAGACTACTCCAACCAGAGAAATCAGCCATAGCAGAGCACCTGGTGAACCAACCTGGACACAGAAGATTATTTGAGAACACAGAAATGCTGGACCACTCTCACAACCACCATGTCGGGCTAAATAAAGAGGAAGCCATTGAAATCCACAAGCATGTGGACAATTTCAACAGAAAGGAGGAAACCATGAAAATGAACAAGATCTGGCTACCAGTATTAAAAAATTCTAAAATTGCAACAGCAAAAACAGCAGAGAGGAAACATCTAATTACCTTTCAAGAAGAGTTTGCTCCAGGCACAGTCAGCCCTTTTTTATGCTAATCAAGGTGGTCAGTTGAAATATTCACACCTAGCCCAACTGACAAAAGTCCTTTGTCTCACCCTGGTCATTCCACAGATATATAAACCCCTTTCCCAGTTCCAGCAGACCTCACCTCTGAGGATGCTTGCCACAGATGCAGGCGAAACGTCAGGAGAAATGCCTCTAGAACATGGTCATAGAGCCCGAAAAAACCCACAAGAACTTAACTTTTATGTGTGTTTCTGGTGGTGTGACTTGTCATGCATTGGTTGCTTTGATGCCATACAAATGAGATGGAATGGTTGAGTCCATCTCTTTGAAAGCAAGCCTTAAGTGTTTAAGATCTCTATGAGTTCTGTGAGGAGACTTGTGCATTAGGCCCACTACTTTGCCTGTCCTACACATTATTCTAATAGTGCCATAAATATGCTAATTGCGGTTATTCCCCCAAGAGAGTCTTGAGTAGTGAGCAATTAAAGGATTCATCCTGAAGGCTTAGAGCAAATGGTGGATTCTAAACTCTGTCATTCGATATTTATTTATCACTAGCTGTACCCACCACGCGTTGCTGTGGCCAACCTTCCCTCCCTCTTTCTCTCCTTCCTTCCCTCTTTCCTTCTTTTCCTCTTTTTCTTTTCCTATTTCTCTTCTTTCTTTCATCTCTACCTGTTTCTTTCCTCCCTTTCTTTGCTCTTTGGGTTACATACTTCCTTCCTTCTCTATCTTTTGTTCCTTCTCTCCTCCCTTCCCTCTCTTTTTCCTTTCACTTTTTTATTTCCTTCTCTCCTTCCTTGCTTCTCTACTTTTCCTTCCTTCCTTCCTTCCTTCTCTCCTTCATTCTTTCCTTCTTTCCCTCCTTCTCTCGTTACTTCTTGACTGTCCTTTCCATTTAATATTGTATTTATATCTTACATAGAAAGATGGAAAGGAAGAAGGAAGGAGGAGGGAGGAGAAGGAAAAAGGAAAGGAGGAAGGGAAGGAGAAGAGGAAGAAGAAAGGAAGGAGGGGAAGAAGGAGAGGGAAGGAAAGAGAAGGGAAGAGGAGGAAAGGGAGGGAGGAGGGAGGAAAGAAGGAAAGGAAAAGAAGGAGGGACAGGAAGGAAAGGAAGGAGGGAAAGAAGGAAGGAGAAGGAAGGAAGAAAATGGAAGAAAGGGAGGAAAGAAGGAAAGGAAGGAAAGAAGGGAAGGGATGGAGGGAAAGAAGGAAGGTCCTTCACTCAAGCACCGTCGACCTTCCTCGCCTCCTCCTCCTCCTCCTCCCCTTCTTCCTTGCCTGGGGGCTCCACTGCTGCCGCTGCCACTCATCCGCCCCTTCCTCTTCCAACAGGGAAAGGAGGAGGAGGAGGAGACCGCCCTCCTGACATAGCAGGGAAAGAGAAGGGGCTCCATGCGGCAAGCCTCCACCTCCACTCCCATGGTGTCCACTCTCGCTTGTGTGTGTGGCCGTACACATGCACCTGGCTCCTCATACTTTAATGGCCGGCTATTTCCCCGTGAGGAGGAGGAGGGGGCGTGGCCATGGGTCTCTTTGTGGGCATGCAGTTTCTCCTTTGTGGACATGCAGTTTAGAAGTCCTTTCTGCTTTTTGTTTTTGTTGTTTTTTGAGTGAAGGACATACATTGGGTTGTTAGGTGTATCATGTCCAAATTTGGTGTAAATTCCCCCAGTGGTTTTTGAGTTCTGTTACGAACATTACATTTTTATTTATATAGATTTATCTATTTACGGCATTTATATGCCGCCCTTCTCACCCCGAAGGGGACTCAGAGCAGCTTACAAGATATATTTTCATACAATATATTATATTATTAGCATAGTACAACATCATTATTATATATTACTATATTGCACTATACCATTATATTGTAATATTATTAGTAATATTATATGTAATGTAAATATGTTATTATAATATTGTATTATTATTACTAGTATTATATTGTATTATTATATTGTATTATTATTACTAGTATTATTATTGGTGGCCCAATAATTTGTTATTGTATGTGTATATGTTTTTAAATTGTAGATTGTTTTAACTGCTGTAAACCGCAATGAGTCGCCGTTCCAGGCTGAGATATTAGCGGTATACAAGTGTACCAAATAAATAAATAAATAAATAAATAAATTATGTTATTTACTAGCTGTACCCGCCACGCTTTGCTGTGGCCAACCTTCCCTCTTTCTCTCCTTCTTTCCCTCCTTCCTTCCCTCCCTCTTTCCTTCCTTCCTTCCCGTCTTTCCTTCTCTTCTTCCTTCCTTCTCTCTTCCTTCTCCCCTTTTTTCTTTCTCTTCTGCTGTCTCTCTTTTCTTCCTTCTCTCTTTCCTTCTTTCCTTTCCTCCCTCTTTCTCTACATCTTCCCCCTTCCTTCACTCCCTCTTTCCTTCCTTCATTCCCTTTTTCCTTCCCTCCCTCTTTCCTTCCTTCCCATCTTTCCTTCTCTTCTTCCTTCTCTATCTCTTTCCTTCCTTTCCCTTTTCTTTCTCTTCTGCTTTCTCTCTTTCTTCCTTCTCTCTTTCCTTCCCTCCTTCTTTCTCTACATCTTCCCCCTTCCCCTTTCCTTCACTTCCTCTTTCCCTTTTTTCTTTCCTTCTCTCCTTCCTTCCTTTTTAACTTTCCTTCCTCCCCCTTTTTCTTTCTCTCCCTCTTTCTCTCCTTTCTTCCTTCTCTACCTCTTTCCTTCCTTCTCTCTTTGCTTCCATGTTTCCTTCTCCCTTTTTTTCTTTCTTTCTTTCTTTCCCTCCCTCTTTCTTTCTTTCTTTCTTTCTTTCTTTCTTTCTTTCTTTCTTTCTTTTCTCCCCTTCCCTCCCTCTTTCTTCCCTTTTTTCTGTATTGTCATTTAGCTTTTCTCATTTAGCTTTTTGGGGCTTTTTAAGTCCCTGCTGCTGTGTTTTTCAGTGTTTTTATGAGTGAAGGACATACATTGGGTTGTTAGGTGTATCGAGTCCAAATTTGGTGTCTATTCATCCAGGGGTTTTAGAGTTCTGTGAATACCACAAACGAACATTACATTTTTATTTATATAGATATGTATATACAATATACTATATTATATTATTAGTAAAGACAAGATGGAACTGCCTTCTGCTCCCCTCTGTCTTCACTCACTGTCAGAGTATGCTGCCCTGTCTTGATAAAATCACATTTGTAATCTCATTTGTGTGATGTGTTTTAGCTCGTAACATCCAGCGTACAGCAGTGAGGCAAGCTCACCATAAGCATGAGCCTGATTTTCATGACAAATACGGCAACCTGATTCTAATTGGAGGAGCAGCCTTCTGCGTCTCGATTTGGAGCTACGTAAGTGTTTCGACCTTGTGTTTGGCTCTTGTTCTTTATCAGTGACGATACGGCCATGGAAATAATAATAAATAGGATTACCGTATATTTCGGGATAGTAGGCCACTGGGCGCATTAGACGACCCCCCAACTTTTCAATTAAAAAATTCAATTTTTGGATATATTCGCCTTACTAGACGACCCCTCTTTGCCAGCCCCTTCAGGCCCCGAAGCCTCCTTTCCTGGGCTTTGAGGCAACTTCTCAGCGCCATAGAGCCTCCCCTCCGCCACAGCCAGCCAACCACGTGCTCATCACGTCCTGCTTTGGGTCAAAATAATAATAAAGTTTTCCTGAGTTGCTGTTGCAGCTATGGGCCTTTAGGTGTCAGCAGAGAATTTTCTCCATTCTCTTTGCTGCTTTACGGAATCCATAAAGCCTCAAAGCCTGGACAAACTTATTATTATTATTATTATTACTATTAACAACTTTATTTATACCCCGCTAGCATCTCCCGTAGGACTCGATGCGGCTTACAACGGCCAAGGCCTCAAACACAATACAACAATACAACACTAAGCAAATTAAAACAGTAAGCAATACCAAACAACAGATAATAGACACTACATCAGGACACTATTAAAACTGGGCCGGGCCGAAGTGATGGGTACAAAATTAAAAGTGCTGATGTGACAGGGATAGGTGGGAATTATAGGGTAGTGCAATATGCGGTGTGCAACAATCTTAAATCTAATAAAGTGCTTCTGGGACTTGTTGTTGGGGATTCCTACTCTGGAAAGGCACAACGGAACAGCCAAGTCTTCAAGTTCTTTCTGAAGGCTGCCAATGTAGGGGCCTGTCTAAGGTCTTTTGGGAGGGTGTTCCAGAGTCGGGGGGCCACCACAGAAAAGGCCCTGTCTCGCGTCCCCACCAAACGCGCCTGCGACGCAGGTGGAATCACGAGCAGGGCCTCTCCAGATGAGCGAAGTGAACGTGTGGGTTCATAGATGGAGATACGGTCACGAAGGTAGGGTGGTCCCAAACCGTTTAGGGCTTTGTAGGTAAGCACCTGCACCTTGAATTGGGCTCGGAAGATAAACGGCAGCCAGTGGAGCTCCTTGAACAGGAGGGTTGACCTCTCTCTGTAAGGGGCCCCAGTTACCATCCTGGCTGCAGCCCGTTGGACCAGTTGGAATTTCCAAGCCGTTTTCAAGAGCAGCCCCACGTAGAGCGCATTACAGTAATCCAATCTAGAGGTGACCAAGGCATGGACCACTCCGGCCAGATCAGCCTTCGCGATATGGAGTGGGGAGTGGATAGAGAACGCTAGAACTCCCTCCTTCTTTTTCCCCCTCCCTCTTTTTTGGAGAAGGGACAGGATACTGGCATAAATTATGCTGGGGGTGTTGAGTGATGTTGAGCCTGGCAGGGGCAGGGCTTCAGAGAGAAATGAGAGATAGAGTGCACGTATGTGTGTTCCTGTGTTTTTTCCTCTCTTCCCTCGCACTCGCTGTCTCTGCTGGATTGATAGCTATCCCCCCCCCCCCGCCTGCTTCTCTGCAAAGTCACTCTCTATCTCTCCTGAGGAGAGAGAACCTGTGTGTGTGTGTGTGTGTGTGTGTCCTGTGCTTCTTAACCAGCCCGAGCGGCTCACTCTCTTCCCCTTCCTGCTTCTCTGCATAGAATCATAGAATCAAAGAGTTTGAAGAGACCTATTGGGCCATCCAGTCCAACCCCATTCTGCCAAGAAGCAGCTTACATGGGGCCAAGTAAAGACTTTCTGTATATATTCCAGATTTCAATATTAATGTCAAAACTACATAGTATGATTTTACATAGGATTTGTCCTACATTAGAACAGTCAAGACAAATATCACTTAAGTAAAATAAACATTAAATATTAAGTAACCAGAAAAAATAAAATAAGGTGTAAACACTAAACTAATCTGGGAATCTGCTATTGCAACGCATCCAATGAAGTGGATTAAAACCAGTATAAAAAAGATTAGGACTAAGTACAACATGTTACAGCAGAATAAAACCAGAACATAAACAACAAGCCGCATCTTATTTATTTATTTATTTATTTACAGCTTTTATATTCGGCCCTTCTCACCTCCGCAGGGGACTCAGGGCGGATTACAGTGTACACATATATGGCAAACATTCAATGCCAATTTTAACATACAACATATACAGACATACACAGAGGCTATTTAACTTTTTCTGGCCGCCAGGGGAGCTGTCGCTTTCATCGTCCATCTGCGACACTGATGAAGTACTTCCGCATTCTCCGCATGCTTTGCTGGAGTGCTTTTTTTCTTTATGGCCTCATAAATTAGTTAATTTAGCCTCCCCATACTTTAAGGTGGTACCTAATTTTCCTACTTGACAGATGCAACTGTCTTTCGGGTTGCAAAGGTCGACAACAGGCTACACAATTGGTTGGAAACCCACTCCAACCCGGGCTGGCTTTGAACTCATGACCTTTCGGTCAGAGTGATCTTAATGCAGCTGACACTCAGCCAGCTGTGCCACA